CAAACTATTGCTTAACTACCTGTAGATATCTCTACAGCACAACACCCTCAACAACTCACGCAAAAAGAAAAGAAAAACAGTCTGCCTACCATGTGGCCAGACACCATTGTGAGAACGGGGAGTTAGCCATAGAGTAGTGGTTACTGGAGAGATTTTTTAAGGATAAGGAATGAGATATGTAATTTACATGAGAAAAAGTAGAATTTTAAAAGGATTATATGCACAGGGGAAATTAAACATATGTGTACACCACATACATACACCAAAAATACATCATGTAGACTATATATATAAATGTATATAGCTAGGCCTCATCCATGAGGACTTGTTCTATGTCCCGTACCCAAATCCATAGATGCTGAAGTCCCTTGTACTGAATGCCTTACTATTTGCACATAACTTAGGTACATATTCCTGTAAACTCTGAGTCATCTCTAGATTACTTATACAAAGTAACAGAAGACAAACGCTTCACCTGAACAGCTGCTGTACTGTGCTGTTTAGGGAATAATGACAAGAAGAAAAACAACTGCATGTGGGCAGTGCAGACAAAATACCCCTTTCAAGGGTTTCTGAGGTGTGGTTGGTGGAGTTCGTGTACACAGAACCCCCAGATATAAAGAGCTAACTATATAAACAGATCAAGGCAAGTATCAAAATATTAGTTGTTCTTTCTGAATGATAGAACAAGCAATTCTATTTTATTTTCTGTGCTTGCTACCCTCCCCCTGACCCATAAAAAATACTAAATAGTCTTATAGTCAAGGGGGAAGTACTTTAAGATATTAAACCGCTGGCATAGAATCTCATTAAGATGATTTCCTAAATTTAAAATTTATTCTGCCAGCTATGGAGACCTGAAGAAAATCAAAGCCTACACACTCTAAGCAAACACTGAAAACTGTCACTCTGGATTACAGAAGGCTGTGTCACAACCTGTCACCATAGCAACGTCTCCAACTATAATCGTCTACTCTGCTAATGTCATGCTGATCTGAAAAGGCATGTTTTCCTCTTCCAACAACTTACTGACATTTTGTCTATTTTGCAAAATAAGAACACTGAGGAAAAACAGTTGGAAATGGCGCGATTGCCCTCAATCTTCCTCACGGCGCGCAGTACCATCAAGTCCCATCCGTGAACAAACCTAGCATCCTTGCGGTACAGTGAGACCGCCCCAGTCACAGAGAGGCCTTCCTCCCTTACATTTACTGCAGACCAGAGACCAGGTACTACACCAAGACAGTGCTCCTGGATGACACGGCTCCTTACTGAGACCCACACGTGTCCCTCTGCACGAACACAAACCCTAAGGGCGGCTGCTGGACTCAGGGCTTGGATCTCGCTCCCCACATACCTCCCGGACATCAAAGCTTCTCTTAAGGTTTGCACCGACTATCCCGTACAGTTCATCGGCCGGGAACAAAGGCTCCTCAGAAGGCTCGACGGTAACCTACAGACAGGACAAATAGACTGTTTAAAGACAGGATTCGGGAATACAGGCCGAAGCTCTCCACGGGGAAAGGAAAGACGGAAGATTTCCTACTCACATCCAGTTTCTTCTGATGATTGAGACTCCTCACAACCTTCCTTGTTAAGTGGAGGGCATGGTGGTCATCCAGAGCGTAGTGGTCAGTGACGCCAGACTTCCTGCAGAGTGAAGCACACGCTAGTGAGCAAAGGCTGGAAACGGAGTCATTAAATACCCTAAGTCCCACATACCCCCAGTCTAAGAATGACTAGGCACCTTAACTGCTTAAACGCCTTAATTAACGCCATCTTACTTGATTTTCATAGTGTCCCTGGTAAAAGAGCATCAACCTCGTCTTACAGAGAGGAAAGTCAGAGGTGCAGAGACTAAGTGCCCTGCCCTAGGACCAGAGAAAGCTGCACGGAAAGCTCACGCCTTGGACTTCTCACTCTGGCCTTCTTCAGCACTCCATGGCTTGTTCTCAGGACTACTAAGGCTCAGTCTGTGTCCCTTGAACAGAATTATATGTGACGCCCAACCACAGCTAGCATGCTTTCACGGTGTAGTTATGCGACACAGTGGGAGCCCGCTGAGCCTTTGGTGCAGGTGCCCACAGTGGTCTCTCCTCTTGGAGACTGCGTCACTGACCACTAGGCTTTGGAGGACCACCATGGCCTCCACTTAACAAGGAAGGCTGTGAGAAGTCTCAATTATCTCTCTCGGAGACTTCCTTCAAGTCAGACATGAGAGTCGGCTCCCTCTTCCAGTAAACAAAAAGGCTTGAATACACTAAGTATGGGTGGGGGTTTCCCAAAAGACAGTTGCAGGCTGAAGAGATGGGTCAGTGTGTAAAAGCGCTTGCCATGCAAGCGTGAGGACCTGAGTTCAAATCTCCAGCAGGCACATAAAATCAGGGCATACAGTACAAACATCTATATTCCCAATGCTCCTACTAAGAGACTCAGGGGGCAGAGACAGGAGAATCCCTGGAAGAATATACCGGCCAGCCTGGCAGATAAAGAGAAAAACAACAAAGGGACCCGTAAACATGTCAGAAGGCGAGGATCAGCACTCAAAGTTGTTCTCTCGGCCCTACATATTCATCATGCACACGTGACGGCATTCACACACATACATGTGGGAAAACATGCATTCAAAGGAGGAATAGAGACTTGTTAATAAAACACTTTTAAAAATAGCTGGGTGTGGTGGCACACACCTTAATGGCAGCACTCCAATGGCAGAGGCAGGTGGATCTCTGAGTCTGAGGCCAACCTGTTCTATACAGTGAGTGCCAGGACAAGCCAGGGCTACATAATGGAGAGACCTTGTCTCAAAAAAACCAAAACCAAAAAAAAAAAAAAAACCCAAAAGCCAAAAACAGTAAAGACAGACAAAAAATATACAAAAGCCCACAGAATTTTGGTTCATTTTATGTGTAAACCACTACAACTGTTTTGATGTCTTGCCTAGAGAATCTGTCCCACTTTCGGGAGTCATTCTGGTGTCCTAAATAAGAGCAGAGACAGCGCTTACTCCTCTAGAGCACACACAGCAGCCCCTTCAGCTCCTACACATATTTTACAACCCTAATTTGTTGACAGCGCTTCACACATAATGGCAGCTGTAGCGACTGGCTTCTAGCTGCTCCGTGATTCAGTAGAAACGGAAGCAGCAGGAAGATTCTAATTTAGCCCAACTTTAAAATGCAATGCTTTCCTATAAAAAAATGCCTGAAATTTGCCCTAACAGGAAAGAGACATTTTGGATGAGACACTACATAAATCTTTGTTTAAAATTAACTCTTAATGATGACTAAGCAGGTATGAATGTGCATTTAAGACGGCAGAGAACTCAAAGCAGTTTGTGACTGGCCTTGTGTTTCTTCTTAAATTGAGACAGGCAATTAATCCTCCTTAGCCTCCTAAGTCCTGGGATTACAGGTGTGCACAGATTTAACACTGGTCTTGTGGATTTTATTTATTTATTCATTATTATTAGTGTGTGTGTGTGTGTGTGTGTGTGTGTGTGCGTGCGTGTGTGTGTGTGTGTGTGTGTGTGTGTGTGCGTGCGTGTGTGTGTGTGTACACAAAAGCACTTATGCCAAGGCCCAAAAGCAGAGGCCAGAAAACAATTTTAACTTTCGGGAGTCTGTTCTTTCTCCACCATAGTTCTAGGGCTCGAACTGAGGCTGTCAGGCTTGCAAGACAAGCTCTAACACTTGCTGAGCCATCAAAAAGTAATGCTAACGAAGGTTCTATTCCAATCTTTACCTTACGCACGAGAAGTCGGGCCTCAAACAGGTTAGTCACCTCGTTTAAGTCACAGAGTGGTCAGAGAGACAAACAGAAGCTCAGTTCCAGGGTCCATACCCTGAAACTCGATAGACTACCTACAGTTTCTCCCCTTTAAAACTGCCAAAATTTTACAAAAATTAATGATCCCTGAATATTATCTTTCTCTCTTTCTCCTGTCAACAAACAAACCCATTTTGTCGTATGCCCTAACTCACCCTTATTCTTCCTTCGGCCAGGTCTCTCCAGATAGGAGCATCACCCAACCAAGCAGATCACCAGTCAGTCTCATGCAAGAGTCAGAAATTGGGCAGAGGGTCTGCAGCACCACCCTGAGCTCCGAAAGCTGAGCTCCCTGAAGCACTGAGTGTCTGCCCCAACTCAGGCAGCGCAGGTCTCTAAACACTGCTGACAACGCCAATCCACCCTAGGATGTCTAAAACCATCTTTCTTTCAACCTTTAGATAAGACTGAACGCTTGTCTGCACACTTACTTTGTAAATGTTTAATTCGTTGATTTCTCTTACCTGCTTAATTAAACGGTACATTCTTGAGTGCAAGAACTAGTCTGAGGTTTTTTCTGTATCACTAATAACAATACAATCAATCAACCCTCAACAAGTGCTGAGCGAGGGAGGAAAGAGGGAGAAATGGAGATGAAGGCTCCTTAAGCTAGCCAACAGGTATGGCAGGAAAGAACCCATCTTGTCTCTTGCCCCGGACTCCTTCCATAGTCTCAGGGCTCCTTGGGGTTATGAAGGCACAGAGCAGAGGGCTTCCTGTGTCAGATGGTCAGGTCTACCCGCTCTTTAGAAGCCAGAGCTAGACCCTGTGCAGACCTTCTCTGTATGCATTCAGGGTACGGTGAACTGTGCAGTTTGAATTAAGTGCCACCTCTATGCAGCTCCTTCCCACAAGATTCTGATCCCTCACAGCCTGCTGCTGAGCAAGCTCCCAAACACGCCTAACTCCTCAGGCCTACAAGAACGTTTGATTCCTCTTACTCCGGTTTCAGATCTCCTCCCTCCACTCCACTGTCTCAATGTCAGGGGATGAAATCATTTCCTGCCATCGTCTTCACCATCTCCTCTCTGCACCCTTTACAGGCCATCTATCAAGAACCTCAGTCGTACCTGGAAAATAAAACCATGCCTGGAGTATAACAGGCATCCAAGCAAGGTTTGTGGGGTTAATGAGAAACTGCCTCTCAGGCTTCACTGAGAAGCCGAGGTACTGTGCTCGCTTTGGCAACACGTATACTAAAAGTGGAACAATCCAGAGGAGATTAGCATGGCCCCTGTGCTGACACTGGGGCTGATAAGGTGGCTCAGAAGATAAGGATGCCTGCTGCTGAGCCTAAGCCCTTGAATCAATTTCCAGAACCCACATGGCAGAGGGGGAGACTTGACTCTCACGGGCTGTCCTCAGACTTCCGTATATCCCCCATGGCATGTGCACAGCCACATGCACGAGTGTATCCACGTATGCAGGTGCACAAACACACATGAAGTTTTCCTTCTTCCCTCCCTCTCTTCCTCTCTCTCTTTCTTTTCAGTAGCTGACACTCTCACTTGAAACACAATTCTATAGTCCAGAGAACTAAACCCAAACCAGCAGGGTGGGAGCAAACAAACTACAGTTTGATCTGGCAAGATAAGCACAAGGTAAAATAATAATAATAATAATAATAATAATAATAATAATAATAATGTAAAATTTCCTTTAAACAAACAAAATGATCATTGATCCTGGAAGGGAAATACGACTCCTGCCTTACCTGCAGTGAAGGTCAGCACCTCCAAGATCCTCAGCAGACACCTCCTCTCCGGTAGCTGCCTTCACCTACGAGGATAAAACCACGGTGAGACTGGTTCACTGAAGACATGAACTGTGGTACTAACAAGTATATCGCCTAGCCTGACTTCACTGCGCTCTTCCTTCCACAGAGCTGAAGATGACTGTACTTTCTCATTCCACCTCCAGGCAAACTGGGCGAATATTATCCCAGTCTACAGATGGGAAATCTAACCCAGACTCACTAAGAGTTACTCACAGCTCCTGGACAAACGATGCAGCCTGGATGTTCACCCTGCTCTTCGTGATGCTACCCAACACACCTTAAAGCCTTGGAGTTGTGAGCACGTCCCTGACTGCCTGGGATCACTTCTTTCACCCAACAGAGTTCACATTGGCCTGCAGGAGTCCTCTTGGTGATGACACCCTAGGATATTAACCAAGCAATGCTGGTGGTGGTGGTTGGAAAGAAAATGTCCCCCAAAGGGAGTGGCACTTTTAGATATGGTTTTGTTGAAGGAGGTACAGCCTTGTGGGAGGAAGTGTGTCACTGAGGGGGCAGGCTCGGAGGTCTCCTGTGCTCAAGCTTTGCTCAGAGTGACACTCAGACCATTTCCTGTTGCCTGCAAGATGTAGCACTATCAGCTCCAGCATCATGTCTGCCTGCACGCTGCCAAGCTCCCCACCATGATGATAATGGGCTCAACCTCTGAACTGGAAGCAAGTCACCCAATTAAATATTTTCCTTTATAAGAGTTGCTGTGGTCATAGTGCCTCTTCAGAGCAATGGAAACCCTAACTAAGATACTGGCCTATCCGTGATAAGAATTCCACTTACACGTTTACATGCTACTCTCCAATCTGTATTTCAGCAATCTGTACATGTTTCTCTTACCAGCTCTATATTATGGGTTCCTCAGGGGTGAGGCTGTGATTCATTCATTTTCAAATATTCAATAACCAAGGCTATAAAATCCAGTTATTTTAAGGTGTTAAAAAAATTGCTTGTAGAAGTTACTCAAATCTAAGGTTTAACAGGATGGAGCCAAAACAGAAAGAAAAAAAATCAGACAATAAATCAAGAATGACTTAATTACAGCCCAATTAACTACAACAAGAAAATTTTTTTAAAAAAATCCCTTAGGACTAAACGCCAACCTCATCTAGTAGGAACTGTTTGCTGAGTCCTATTTCACCGGGTTGACTAATTTGTTTCTTGAGATAGAAATAAAAAGACTTTATTAAAATAACGAGAATTAATCTAAAATACAGCACAGAGATGGTTAGTTTTCACTGTATCGAAACCTCTGCTTTAAATAAAATATCTTTCCACAGAGAGGCAATTAAAAATTTCACCTCCAATTATTCCACCCTCAGAAGTCAATTATTGTTTCTCTTTCCAAAAAAAAAATCAGTGCTAAACAGCTTTCACTCCAGACAATAACTAATTATAAGAAGCGTCTGAATATTTAAAGTCATAAAGAAAGATAAACAACAGATATACTATATTTACTCTCAAGGATCTGACTAATTTCCGGGGGAGGGGGATATGGCTGTCATCAGTTAATATTTATTGAACACCCACAACATGTTTGATGCCCTGACAGGTGCAAAGATGACCAAAGTAAGAACAGTGAAAGGTTGTCATTGTAGCAAACGGCAAGTTAGGGTGGGAAAGGAGCCAGGAGAACAAAAAGTCCTTCAAATCCCCATTTGCTTCAACCACAGTAAGCTACGTGAACTAACAGCACCTGAATCTCCTTCTTCAAAGCTTTTTCTCAACTGCCAACAAACAAGGGCCAGGACACTGGATGCTCAGATGATCTATGAAGCTTCAGATTCTTCCTCCCTCCCTAAACACAGTCGTCTCTCATGGACCACTGACAGCGGTCAGATCTGGAGGACTTCGGGTTTGCTGGGTCAAGTTAAACCTGAATCCATGAGTCAACCTAGATGAATGCTTCTAAAACACCAGGTGTTATCCCAGCACTACGTGCCACAAATTCTCCCAACAGATCTTTTCAAATGTCACTCATACCTTTATCTGTGAAAGTTTGTACTCTCACAGTGCACAGGTAAAAGTGGAGCACATTTTCTGCGCGTGAGCCGAGGAGAGCGTATCACAAACATCCCGAGAACACTAGCACCCTAAACAGCACTGGAGAGTTGCCACAGTTATAGCACAAGCTCCTTCTGATCTACCTCATCTTCCATACTTGTTAGAAATCACATGGGAAACATTTACTTTGCATGAGTTCTTACTAGCAACTGACACGCCTTGAGGTCTGCCATTTTAAACCATACATTTCAGAGGTTTTTCTGGTAATCACAAAATTGTGCAGTCATCATCATTCCAGAACATTCCATCACTCCCAGGGGAAACTCCCACTCAGCTGTGGCCATTCCCATTACTCTCCCTCCTAGATCCTGACAGCCACTATTCTACTTTCTATCGCCATGAATTTGGCTCCCTTAAATATTCACAAACATGGAATCATATTTCTGTGTGTGCTTCACATGTTTCCCATCCACATTGTGAAGAACTTCATTCCTTTCTATGTTTGAATAACGTTTTATCGCTTCTGACCCTCCTGCCTCTACTTTCCAACTGTTAGGAATACAGTGTGTACTATGATATCCAGCTCAAAACACCTTCTAGAATATGCTAGGCATTCCAAAATTCTCAAAAAGCCAAAAGTATTTCATGTTTCTTACACTATACATTTATTCTGTCTTTTCCAAAATTTCATTATGTACATGGAGATACAAAAAGCATATTTCCCAACATTTTACCCAAAATTAATACTATATATAACCTACTATATATAACCTAGAGTGGCCAAATTCTTAAGACTCAAGACTCAACAAAGAGAATGGTGGCACTAGACATGGCACATACCTTTAATACTAGCAGAGACAGGAGAATCTCTGTGAGTTCAAGGCCTGATTGATCTACATAGTGAATTCTAGGCCAGCCAGAGCTAAACAGTGTATCCCTGTCTCTCAAAAAAAAAAAAAGAAAGAAAAAAAGAAAGAAAGAAAGAAAGAAAGAAAGAAAGAAAGGAAGAAAAGAGAAAAATAGAAGGGTGGTTGCCAAGGCAACAACAGAAGATAAAAAAGTTCTAGGGCTTGATATGGCAACATCTACATGATAATACAAATATGTTTAATGCCATTGAAACAAATAATTAAGATTTATTAGACAGTAAATTTCTGTGATGCATTATACTTACCACATTTTTAAAGCTTATAATAGTTTATGTGTCTATATTTAACTCTAATGAATCAATAATCATTCAACCAAGATAATATTCTTACCAAGGGTGGTCCACCTAAGAAGATAGTACCCTGCTTTTGTACGATGATGTTTTCATCCGCCATTGCAGGCACATATGCACCTCCCGCTGTACAGGAGCCCATGACCACAGCTATCTGCAAAGAAGGCACAGGCAAGCCAGGAGGTGAGACTCCAACAGGAAACACATGGCAGTGGCACAACGTCCCTACAAACACTGTAGTGCCTAGCTGATACTAAGGGCTGATCCCTGGACCTCACTTTAGAAACGGAGTCCTGAGATGATGGTCCTTATTGTGTAGCCTAGACTAGCCTAGAACCCATGATCCTCCCAACTCCTGAAGACAGAGCCTCTAGGCATATACCATCCTTGTGACTAGGAAAAAAAATCTCTTTTGTTATTGTTTTAACTTATATGTATGTGTCTGTCTGTATATATCCAAAGTTTGTGAGCACATACCCACAGAGATAGGAAGAGGGCGTCTGATCTGACCCCTAGGAACTGTACTTAAAATTTGTGAGCACCCTGGTACGAGTGCAAGGAGCCGGACTCAGGTTCTCTGGAAGAGCGGCAAGTGCTCTTAACCACTGAGCTAGCTCTCCTGTCTCCTGGAATCGTGTCTTGACCTCTTGTATGAAACTATTTTGCAGGGCTTATGTTTCACTCTTACAGAACTTGTAGATGAAGAGTCTATTAGGACAATACTGGTCTGGTAAACCACTAGTCTGCGAAAAGAAACCTACCATATACTCACTTCAATAAAACTTCCTCAGAGGGGAACTGATAATACTGCACCCTCTAAATAATCACTTTATATAAATAAATAGCTCTTGGGGGCATTGAAATAATTCTTTGAATGAATGTTATTAATATTTTGTGCTAGCACAAATATAATCTTCTAACTTCAAAACTAATGCTAACATTTGCATTGAAAAAGTTCCTCAAATGGCTGAGTTGGCAAAGTGATCCCCAATAACCATGTAAAACAGTTGGGCACAGTCTGAATACCTGTAATCCTAGTGCTAGAGAGGCAGAGAAAGCTGGGTCCCTGGATTTCACGGCTCCCTGGTCTAGTCAAATTGGTAAATTCAATGAAAGCAAAACACTTTGCCTCAAGAAAATAAGGTGGAAGGATTAGGGAGATGGTCCGCTGTTGAGGGCGCTCGCTGCTAAAACTGAATTCTCAGCACCATGTGAACAGCCAGGCATAGCTACAGATGTGTATAACCCCAGCATAGAGAAGTGGA